CTAGGAATGGCACAGGGCCCAAACTAGGAGTAGAGAAAGGCGGGGGAGATGGAAGTGTGAATGAGGCTTGGGGAGTCAAGGTGCAGAGGGCCACGTGATAGACTTAGCCCAAGAAGCCTGAGGATAGGAGAGCAGGTTGGGAGAGTTAGCCGATGGTGCACTTCCAGGGAAGCAGAGAGAGGTGAGTGTGGGGCCAGGTCCAGAAGCAGTGCTCCTGGGGCCCAAGGAAGGCACCAAGGTGGTCCGGGTGAAAAGGATCAGGAAGCAGCACTGGCTCCCCAGATGTCTGGGGCCCCAAGACTAGGAATGGCACAGGGCCCAAACTAGGAGTAGAGAACAGCGGGGGAGATGGAAGGGTGAATTGCATATAGGTTTTTATAGTATTCCTTTATAATGTTCTGGATCTCTTTGGTGGTCTGTGTGATCTTTCCCCTTTCATCTCTGATTTTGTTGATTTGGAGGTGCTCTTTCTTTCTTTTGGTTAATTGGGCTAGCAGTCTATCAATCTTGTTTATCTTTTCAAAGAACCAGCTCTTGGATTCATTGATTCTTTGTATTGTTTTCTTTGTTTCTATTTCATTACTTTCTGCCCTGATTTTTGTTATTTCTTCTTGTCTGCTGGGTTTGGGTTTCATTTGTTGTTGCTTTTTAACTGTCTTGAGTTGCAATGTTCAATCATTTATTTGTGTTCTTTCTGATTTTCTGATATAGGCACTTAAAGCTATAAACTTCCCTCTAAGGATAGTTTTCAGCGTGTCCTAGAGGTTTTGTTGTGTTATATTGTCCTTTTCATTTAATTCCAGGAATACCTTTATTTCTTTCTTAATTTCTCTTTTGACCCATTCATCATTCAGGAGTGTGTTGTTTAATCTCCATGTGTTCGTGTGGTGATTTTGGCTTCTTCGGGTGTTGATTGTAAGCTTTATTGCACTGTGGTCTGATAGAACACATGGAATTATTTCAATCTTTTTGTATTTGCTGAGCTTTGTTTTGTGCCCCAGTATATGGTCGATTTTGGAGAAAGTTCCATGGGGTGCTGAGTAGAAAGTATGTCCTTTGGTGTTTGGGTGGAATACTCAGTAGATATCTGTTAAGTCCATTTGATATATGGTTTTGTTTAATTCAGATGTCT